CATGTCTGGCTTCTGGTTTCCTCTCTCTCTATCTCTCTCTTTCTTTCTCTCTCTCTCTCTCTCTCTCTCTCTCTCTCTCTCTCTCTCACCTCTCTCTCTCTCTCTCTCTCTCTCTCTCTCTCTCTCTCTCTCTCCCTCTCTCTCCCTCTCACACTCTCTCTCCCTCTCTCTCTCATCTCTCTCTCTCATCTCTCTCTCATCTCTCTCTCTCTCTCTCTCTCATCTCTCTCTCTCTCTCTCTCTCTCTCTCTCTCTCTCTCTCTCTCTTCCGCTCTCCTCTAACCTCTCTTTCCTTCTGTCATCTCCCCCGACACCCGACCCCGACCCCCATGCAAAGGTGGCCCCCCATGGGCGCCGCCGCCGCCGGGCGGCCCCGCGGCCCCGCGTTCAGGCGGCCCCAGGACCCACGACGGGAGGGCAGAGGGGGAAGACAGCGCGCGTAACGATGCGCACATGTATATACACCTCCTCCTCCTCCTCCTCCTTCCTCCTCCTCCTCCTCCTCCTCCTCCTCTTCCTTCTTCTACCCCATCCTTCTCCTCATCCTCCTCCTCCTCGACGCTTAGGTGGCTCAAGCACTAGCGTGCGTTGGGCCCGCCTCGAACCTTCAACGTCATGTACGCCTTCGCCTCGGACTTCTTGATGGTGTCCTGCACGAACTTGGAGCACTCCTGGTAGGCCTTCTCCTTCAGCAGCTTCTCCAAAAAGTCTGAGCCGCGATGAAGGGCTGCCTGGCCAGGCCCAGCGTCAACCAAGGCAGCCGCGCAATTGAAATTCAAAGGGGCCTCCGAAGCCGAAACCTGAGCATGAACAACTGCTGCAGCCGCCAAGTGAACACCGTCCGAGGGCATGACCTGAGGGGCGTCCGCGGTGGTAACGCTCAGTTTCAGCTTCTTCCCAGATCCTGGCGACTGCAACTTCTTACCCATGATGGACTGCAACTGTCCGCTGCATTTCTGAACCCTCTTGTAAGGGCCGTCGAGGCGCGAGAACTTCTGCGAATGAGTCTTCAGCTGCTGCTTCGCGTTCTCGAAGTCAAAGCCTGCCCCCGTCTGCTTCATTGAGACGAGCAGCTTGTCGAGACTCTCGCATGATGTGGTGAACTCCGCGTCCATGGATGCGATGGCCTCCTTCATCTCCTTGTCGATGTTCGAGCACTGGTCATCGAGCTCACCGCCGTTGAAGACTCTCTCCTTCAAATGGCTCACCGCGCTTTGAGCCTGCATCTTGGCGGTCTCTCTGATGCTCTCGAGCTTGCCGCGGGCCAAGGAGACCTTCTCCTCCAGGAATACAGATGCCACTGTGTAGTCCACAACCTTCTTCTTCTGAGGGAGCTGCGCAGCCTCGAAGTCCTCCTGCGCCTCCCGGTCCGCCTCTCGAGCCGCGGCGTCAGCTGCGTCGGCCATGGACTCGCAGAGCTGCGCGGCGATGTTCGGCGACGTCTGATCCGAATCGTTCAACACGTTCTCCACCCACTCTGCTGGCACATCAGCTTTTGGAGTCGGCTCGTGGGTCGCCATTGGACGCTTGAGGCCACGAGCAGCAGCAGACATCTGAGCGAAGTCGGTGTCCGCAGAGGCCCTCGCAGCGTTGAGCTCCGTGGCCGAGCTGAAGTGCGAAAACTTCTTGGTAGTTTTCTGCGTGGTCATGTTGCTCTTCACCTCATCAGTCATGAAGCCCAAGTATTCGGCAATGTGCCACTCTTCCTTCGAGGAGCCTGGAGCCTTGGCCCATGACTTCGTGTACGCAGGGTCTTGCAACCTCCTCCGCCACTCGGTGAGCTGCGTCTGCTCCGTGCTGAAACCCTCGAGGAAGAGGTCCTTCTTGTACTGACTCCAAGGCTTGTGCATGACTCTCGCCTTGTCCACCGTGCCCTCTTGTATCTCAGCAGTAACCTCGATCTTCAATTCAGCGCCGTCCTCGTGATTTGGATTGGCTTCGTGGCCCTGGAGAAACCACTCCTTCTGTTCATCGGTGGATTTTTTGTTCCACCACGTTTTGAGGGCTGCATTCTTCTTCCAGCGACGAGTCAACTTTTTGTAAAGCCCCACGCACAATGCACACGATGGCTTCTGCTTGGCCCCCCCTGCGCCTCTGCAAGTGGACGCCAACTTGGCACAAGGAAGAGACTGCTCGCACTTGCAGCACAGGAACATACCGTCGCCGAAGCACGCATCGACGTCCATCTCGTCTGCTCCACCCATCATGGCCAAGTCCTCGTTGTCCTGGTCCTGGTCTGGGACGCCCATGTCAGCATCAAGCAAGTCCGACGCGCCACCAATAGGCGTGCTCGTGCCACCAATAGGCGTTGCACCCCCAGCAACTACAACTCCAGATGGGGTCCCAGGGGTCGACCCAGCCGCTGCCGAACCTGCCGAGGATTGGCCACTGCCTACGCCCTCGGCCTCGCCGCCCTTGCTCTCCTGCTTCTGGGGGGCCTGGGGAGGAGGCGACGCGGCCCCCATGGCGGCCGCAGCTGGCTCAGCGCCTCCTGGCGGCGCAGGCATCTCGCCGCCGGTCGGATGCCCTGGCTCATCAGGCGCTGCTCCCGCGGGCTGAGTCGCGACCTGCGCGGCGGCGGGCGCAGCCGCCTTGGCAGCTGGCTCGACACTGGAAGCCTTGGCCTTGGCGACCTCGGGCGGCGCCGCGGCGGCCTCGGGGGCCTCGGCGTCGGGGGCGGCGGCGGGCGCGGGAGGCGGGGGCGGCTCAGGCTGCGCCGCCGCCTTCCCTTGCTTGTTGGGAGCGCACGAAGCACTGCCGCCGCCGCCCGCGGGCGCGGCCTTGCCCTTCAAGTGTGGCGGGGCCCTGCAGGCCCTGGCCTTGGACTTCTCCGCCGCCTGCGCCAGGAACGAAGCGCCGCCGCTGGGCTTCGCCGCCTTCGGGACCTGCCCCTGCTCAGGCTGAGGCGGCTGCTGCTCCGCGGCAGGGGCGGCCATCTGTCCTCATGGGGGCGCGCGAAAGAAAGCGGCCCTGCCCTGCCCCCAAAGTTAAGCCCAAAGTTTCCCGCCAAAACATTTGGAAAGTCTTCTGAACCCAATGGAACTCATGGGCCCCCTGGGCCCTCCTGGAAATCCGAAGCCCCTGGAACTTGAACCCCCGAATCCCCGAGGTCCTGAAACTATTGAAATATTTGAGAACGCTTGCACATGCGCACGAACACATATGCATTCGTCTGCATGGTAGAGTGCCTGTGCTCATGTGTCACAGTCCGTGTACTTTTTTCACAGACGCACGCATATATGCACGTGTATGCACGCATGCACGCACGCACGCCTGAGCGCGTTACAAACTTACAGCTGATGCTATCGGCCCCTGAGGGGTGACGACGCTGACGGCAATGACGACGACGAGTTGGAGGCCCCACCGCAGGCTCAGGACCTGTGAGCGGTGGAAAACGAAAGATGAGGACTAAGAGGAGGATAGAGGAGGGGAGGAGGAGGAGGAGAAGGAGGAGGAGGAGGCGGAAAAGGAAGAGGCCCAAGCAGGAGGAGGAGGAATACTAAGGGGAGGAGAACTGAGCGGAGGAGGACGCCCAACACGAGGGGGAGGCCCACAGGAAGGGCGATTGCCCCTGAATCCAGAACGATACCGAGTTCACCCCTTGATCTCCTGCTCCGCCGCGGCGCCGCGGCGTTCACCGGGCGCGGGGGGCTGGCGGGGGGGAGGGGGTCGCCTGAAAGCCTCTGAGCCTCTACGAGCTGAAAGTCTACAAGAAATATCGCTCAACTGGGTGGCGGCGGTGGGCGGTGGGTCAGGGGTCAGTGCGATGCCCCTTTGAAAGCCCCCTCAAACTTCCAACCCCATCCGCCAGCATCCCCTTCCCACCTCCCCGCGATCTCACTATCTGACTCGTGCTCTGTCTCCCCCATCCCTGATCTCTGCCTGGCGGCCCAGACATTCGCTCGCCCCGCGCCGCCCACTCGTCACTTGTCATCCCCTCGGGTTGGGGGGCCTCGTCGGGCCTCGGGGCGCAGGAATCGAAATGTCCTCGACCTCGGAGGGGGGGCGCGGGGAGCAAGGCAAGCTGAATGGTTTTGACGCTCGCGGGCCCTGGGCCTCTGGAGCCAAGGGCCGAACAATGGGGGCGCTGCTGGGCGGCGAGAAACCGAACGGGGATCGTCGCAACAATCGACCTGCGTTTTTTTGTCAACGCGCTGGAACCCCACGAATCAAATCAAATGTCTGATTTCCGCAGCGCGCGGCGCGGAGCGGCACGGGGAAGCATCTTGCGCACATGCCGCGCAGACCAGCGCGCGGCAGCCGACCCCGCCCAAAAAAACTTCAGTTGCGTCGCCCGAACCCTGGGCCACTCCTACCCTTGGGACTCTGGGGCTGGGACCTTGGACCTGAGCCAGCGAAGTTGGCCCAAATTAAAACTCAAGCTGAAATGGTCCATGGGCCCAAGCCCCCTCGCTTCAGGCTGCAACATCTTGCACCTTACTCCGCGGAGCAGACGGGGAAGTTCGTCTTCTTGCTGATCCGCACGCGGGGGGCCACCGACAAAGGAGGAGGACAGGAATTGCAGCTGTCGCCCAGAGGGGGCAGGCTGGGGGGGCGGAGGAGAAGGATGAGGAGGATGGAGGGGGGAGGAGGGAGAGGACAGGAGAAGGAGCAGGAAGGGGAGGAGCACGGGGGAGGAAGAAGAGGAGGAGGACGAGGGGGAGGAGGACGAGGAGGAGGAGGAGGAGGAGGACGAGGAGGAGGAGGAGGAGGAGGAGGGGGGGAGCCGAATGCCCATCAAGACGACATCGCTTTCGATTGAAATTCTGAGCGGCGGAACGAGGAGAAGGAGGAGGAGGAGGAGGAGAAGGAGGGGGGGGAGAAGGAGGAGGAGGAGGAGGAGGAAGAGGAAGAGGACCCCCTCCGAAAACCATTTTTTTCGTGAATTGCTTTTCAAGCCATTCTCCTTCCAAAAACCGCTTCTGAAAACTGCGCGCGCCCCCTCCCCCCTGCGACGGGGGGATGCGACGAAGACGACGGAGGGCAGAAGAGGAAACCACCGCGTCGCCAAGCGCCGGGCCCTGGCTGCCAGAGCTGCCCCCCTGGCCCTCCGCGGCCTCTGGGTCCGCGCGGCGCTTCTTGCAGACGGGCTCGCCCTCCTCCTCGCTCTTCTCAGCGTCGGACAACGCGATGCCGCCCCCGAGGATCATGGCGACATCGTCGGCCTCGCCGTAGTCGGGCACCACGCCGAACTGGCTGAAGGCGGCCGTGTGCTCGATGGTGAACGGGAACCGCGTAGGCAGCGCGGACAGGGCGTTCTCCCATTTCTCGATCACCTAGCGGGGGGGAAGGAGAAAGCACGCGACGACTACGACTACGATCTCGCTATCGACTCGAAGACGAGGGCGACGGCGTCGAGGTTCACGACGACGACGACTCACGAGGTCCCTAAGAGCCTCAAGACAGCCTAAGACAGCCTAAGAGAGCCTAAGAGAGCCCCAAGACAGCCCTCAAGAGAGCCTAAGAGAGCGTCAAAACAGCCTCAAGATAGCGAGGGTCTGGACCGAAAGTGGCTGAGGAAATTTCTCAGCCACTTTGGCCTCGGCTTGGTTTTTTTTCTAGCCCTCAAGAGAGCCTCAAGAGAGCCTAAGAGAGCCTCAAGACAGCCCTCACAAGGTCCCTAAGAGCCCCAAGGAGGGTGGGAAGTCCCAAATTTGAAGTACCCCCCATCGGATCACCAAGAGGATCTGGTTCAACACCCTGCCAATCGCGTCCACTGGCATCATGTTGCCCAAAGCCTTGATCACAGTCTTCTTGCCGTGACTCGAACTGATGCTCCTGGGCTCGACGCCGCTCAAGCGGCACCTCTCAGCATGAGTCATGCGTCGACCATGTAACTCTTCGATTTGGGTGGTGATGATGTACAAGTTATCATTGCGGGTGGTGAACGTCGGCGCCGTGTTCGCGCGCAGAAACCCCTGGAACGCTTTATCGAGGGCCCGGTCAATGTCCACGGTGGCGAACTTTGCCTCGGGCGCGGGAGCGAAGACGACGCAGGATGAAGGAGGAGTAGGAGTAGGAGTAGGAGTAGGACGGAGCGGGAGGCGGGAGGAGAAGTCTCGGAGAAGGTTTAAGGACTGATGAGGGGAAGATCTGGGTATTAGAGGTTCGGTGCTCATCATTGCAATGCCCAGTCACCCCGCGGTGCTCTGGCCATTGCTTCTTTTCCCCCAGCAGCGCGATGTAGCCCTCCATGTTCTCCTGCTGCTTCTCTGTCAAGCGCGATACGCCAGAAGCCCAATCGGGCGTCTCGTCGATGAACAGGTGCAGGGGCGGCGGCTGGCACTTCTGCGGACGCTCCGCGAATGCCGTATCTGCAGCATCCAGGATCCAGCTGCGAATGCCGATCACATAGACCCTGGGGCGCGTCTGGGCCAGGTGGCAATGGGTCGCGTTGACCTCCCAGACCTTCTGAGGGGATGTCAAACAATCTAACAGGAAGGTGAGTGGGTAGTCGGGGCAGCCGGGAACCCACAACTGAATCAAGTTTGATGCGGATGTTCTGGGAGGGGTCCGACGCCGAACGCCCTCAACAAATTTGAGTTCTCCCCCCCCAGAAGCATTCGGGCTGGCTAGGAAGATCAAGAGGAGGAGGAGGAGGAGGAGGAGGAGGAGGGGGAGGAAGAGGAGGAAGGAGGAGGAGGAGGAAGAGGAGGAGGAGGAGGAGGAGAAGGACGAGGAGGAGGAGGAGCAGCAGCAGCAGCAGCAGCGGCGGCGGCAGCAGCAGCAGGAGAAGGAGGGGGAGGAGGAGGCGTGAGTTTGCCCCGCGATCACCTTGAACTTGAAGTAGGGCATCTCCTCCTCCAAGTGCGCCATGAACTGGTCGACGAAGGGCGCCTCGTTAGCGTCGCCGCCAGGGCGGTGCCGCCAAGCGTCGACGTTCTCGAAGATGCAGAACTTGAGGCGGCCACGGCCCGAGCGTGGCGGCTGACCCTTGCCATTCGCACAGTCGACGACGTGATCGGTCACCTTGCGGAGCACCGAAGCACGCGGGTCCTGCACCCCGTTGCGAAAGCCCAGTGTCGACCACGGCGGGCACGGGGGGCCGCTGATCACCGCGTCGCACTCCTCCATGTCGACATTCAACACGTCGGCCCCCACGCGGACAACCGAGGGGTCGGTCCCGAGCATCGCGTGGAGGTCGCTCAAGATGCCGCCGACCTTCTCGTCTATCTCGATCACGTCCTGGAGGCGGCGATCGAAGGCAGACAGGGACGCAGCGGGCGGTGTAAAGCGGAGAGAAAGAGGGGGGGAGACCAGGAGGAACAGGAGGAAGAAGACGAGGAGGAAGAGGAGGAAGCGACTTGACTGAAAAGAAGCCGCCGGGCGCCAGGACAGGATAGGAGGGAGATCCCTGAGTAGCGTTAAAGCCGCAACCTTGTGGGGCCGAAACCAGGCAGCAGGGCCCCCGAGAAGCCTCGCGATAAGGCCAGGATTCCAGGATGGGGGCCCCTGAGGCCCCTGGGGAGCCCCGAGGCCCTGAGGGCTCCCCAGGTCGTCACTATCAGAGCCCATGAAAGTGACGAGACGCTATTGAAGCGTTCTGGCGCCCCCCTGCAAGCCAACTTGGAGCCGCGAGAGAGCGCCTGATCAGCGGCTGGGATGGGGCCCGAAAAGCTCAGGCGAAGTGGGCACCAAGATGACCCCAAGATAGCCTGCCATGACCCCCAAGTTGGCCCCCAAGGTCCAAGGTCCCCCATGGCTTTGGAAGCCCAAAAGGTGTCCTTCGGCACGATGGGCCAACCAGCCTCCTTGATCGCCCTCTCGGGGCCGCCGATGCCCGCGCAAGGGAAGCAACAAGTCAGAGGATTGCGGACCTCCGCCAAGCGAACCTTTGAATCTGGATCGCACCGAAGGTATTTCAACCAGGGGGCCTCCCACGCCGCGCGCACAGGCCGACAGGGCTGGTCATCAACGATGCTCGGATTGCGAGGCGCAGGCAGCTGCAGCGCCATGCTGTTCGAACTAGGCTCTCGTTGCAAGGGTGCGGTGCAAGGTGTAGGATGCAAGATGCTATGCAAGCTAAGCGAGGATGATCGGAGCAACCTCGACTCGACTCGAGCCTCGAGCCTCGAGCTCGAGCGCTCGATAACGGTTGTCGGTATAAAAAGGAGGATGAAGGACGAGGAGGAGGAGGAGGAGGAGGCGCACCAGCAGCAGCAGGATGAGAAGGAAGCAGATGGCATGCAGCATGACGAGGGGCGAAGTGAGGCTAGATGGGGGAGGAAGAGGAGGAGGCGGACCGAGGCGGAGGCTCAGGAGGAGTCGAGGAAGAATATGAGAAAGATGGTGGCCGAGGCAATGAGAAACAATAACTGACCAAACTCCCCAAAAAAAACTAACGCCCCAACATCCAACATCTTAACCTGCTGACCTCAACTGAATCGGCGACGCTGACACGCCCAGAGAAGCCCAAAGTGAGCCTTGCCGAAGTCCCGTCCACCCTCCCGTCCAGCCCGTCCAGCCCCGTCCACCCCCCCGTCCAAGCCCGTCCACCCTCCCGTCCACCCTCCCGTCCAACCCCGTCCACCCCCCCCGTCGACCGTCCAACCCCGTCCACCCTCCCGTCCAACCCCGTCCACCCTCCCGTCCACCCTCCCGTCCAACCCCGCCCACCCTCCCGTCCAACCCCGCCCGCCCTCCCGTCCACCCTCCCGTCCAACCCCGTCCACCCTCCCGTCCACCCTCCCGTCCACCCTCCCGTCCAGCCCCCTGACCTCCTCCCTGACTTCCTCCCTGACCTGCCTGACCTCCTCCCTGACCTCCCGTCCAATCTCCCGTCCAACCTCCTGACCTCCTCCATTGAACACTTCAGCCTCCTGACCTCCCCCCTCCTTGTGTCAAGTCCTTATCAAGAGCGGCATGTCAACCTTCCGATCGACTCGGAGCTGCGCTAGTCAGAGTCTGCGTTGTCGGCGTCGTCGGCATCGATGGGTGGCAGTGGCAGTGGCCTAGACATTGCGAAGATCCAACACGCCGACCTTGAGAAATCGGCTCGCTTCTTGCATCCCGAACGCCGCTTGGAACCCGAACGCCCCCCTTCGTTCGCACCCCGCTGACATGCGGCAAGCGAAGAAGACGGGGCACGTGTTCTGCAAGACCACGGCGGGGATGGAAGAGGCGATCCACCGACGAGAACAACGACGCCAGCACAGACCAATCGGAACACGAATGCGAGCTTGGTGCCTTTCATCCTGTCTCGAAGCAATGGCCCAAGGTTCAGTGATACCCCTCATCTGGGCGGCTAACTTCTCGGGCCAAACGCACTGTCGGCGTGGCGGTGTGACCAGCGACAAGGGCGGGACAAGGAGAAGGGAAAAGATGGCGGGGCATCGTTAATCATCTTGCCCCCCCCCCCCCCCCCCCCCCTCATCCGACCTCGCGCCCCAGGAAGGGGGGGTGCTAAAGACCGCCAAACGCGAAATCAGACCGCTGTCTTGGGGGATATGTTCACAACGCCCTCAACGGCTTCTAAGATGACAAGAGACCCCAACATGCTAGATGCACGGCGAATCGCCCGCGTCCAGGGCACGCCGTGCCCTCGCGCCACGTCGCGGCTGGGTTCGCAATCGGAATCCTAGCCAGACCGCGGGAAGATACAGGAGGGGCCGAAAAAAAAACGAAGGGCGACACCAAACACTTATGTTGTGGCTCGTTTAAATTCTGGAAGCGGGCCCCGGGCTGGGCTGGGCTGGGCTGGGCCCCAGGGCCCTGGACTTGGGCCCTCGGGCCCCTGCGAAGGCAGGCTTTATTATGTTTTGAAAATATGCATGTCCCCAGGGAAAACGCATATTCGAACAACTCCCACGTGAAAACTCGATTGGGGGAGGGTGAGCACGGCGAGGAGGAGGAGCTGGAGGAAGAGGACGAGGAGGAGGAGGAAGAAGAGGAGGAGGAGGAGGAGGAAGAGGAGGAGGAGGAGGAGGATCAGGAGGAGGAGGGGGAGGAGGAGGAGGAAGCGGAAAAGAAGGAGGAGAGGAGAGGAGGAGGCGGCGGAAAAAGGAAGTGGAGGAGGAGGGGTGGCGGCGAGGGCAGAAGCAGGAGAAGGAGGAGGGGGGAGAGGGGAGTGCGAGGTGGAGGTGGAGGAGGGCGTCAAGACTCGTCGAGAGAGACAAGGAGGGCGAGAACAGTAGGACGCGAAGGGGAAGGGAGGGAGGAGGCGGAGGAGGGAGGAGGAGCAGGAGCTTCAACACCTGAAGGGAAGTTCGGAACCCCGCCCTCACCTCAGCGGCCAACGACCAATCCTGCCCCTCCTCCCCCCCCTCACCATCATTCCCTCCCATCCTCCCCCTATCCTCCACATCCTCCCCCATCCTCGCCCACCGCATCTTCGAGCTCTCGTCTGCCCCCCGTGGCGTTCGACCCTCTAGCCACCCAACCGCTCAAACACTTTTCTTATTTCTATGACAGAACAGGCCGCCGCACACAGTGTCATGGCGGGACATGAGCGAGAGCTGCGTCCACAGCAGCATCCGCTGGGGCGAAGTCGCGGTGGGCGCGCTTGTCGTCGAAGAGGGGCCCCCCCTCCGCCCAAGCGACCAGCCACGCCGCGCACCTGTCGAACGATGGGAACATGTCCACGGTGCAATACTTGAAGCAAGGCTTGTGCGCCAAGCACGTGATGTACGCCCTCTGGCGGCCGCTGGAATGACTGTAGTTATCCACGTTGATTTTGAAGTCGCCGATTCTCATGGACCTAGCCGCTGGCGGCGCTGCCACTACGACAGCATCTGGCACAGCAGCGCCGAGCATCTCGATCGCCGCAGCCTCCACGTCGCCTCCGAGCGCCAGCGCTGGGGGCTCGTCGCCGAGGAGGGGGAGCGCGGCCGCGGCACCGCCGCCGCCGCCGCCCTCCCAGTCGGCGCCCTCCAAGTGAGCGGCCAAGGCGGGCAGCGCAAGAGGCCTCGGCGGTAGAACGACTGTTGCGTCGCCGTGCTTGCAGATGTCCACGAAGTCAGCGTTCTTGAGATCTCCGAAGTCAGGCCGGTCATGGAAACCATGGAGCGATTCGAGAGTGACCAGACAATGATAATACCCAGCAACCATCGAATGATGGATTCGGTCACTTCCTCTCTGAAAAATATGTTCACTCATTGACATGGCCAGATAATAATCGGCCGATCGAGACACCATGGACCGCAACAAATGCTTTGGACCATCGCGCATATGCGGTGCAACAACAGCAGGAACCACAGCCCAACCGTCAGCACGCAACGACACTGCCATATCGTACTTCGAACTCCGACCACGCCAAGAAACACAGGGCTCGCGTATGAACGAGCTCCTCTCCCTAGCGATGAACCTGCCCTCCCATTTCAACGACGAGGGGTCCACGTACAGGCGATGCTCCGCGAACTCGTCGACATCTCGGCGAATCAACCCCCCCGCAACCATGGCGTCCAAATCGGACATGTCAGCGCGCACGCTGGCCAGCACGTCAACCGCCAGCTCTGCTGCCCCGATGTTGCCAATCGCGCCTTGCGCCATCAAGTATCGAATCACCTGGGGGCCCTGGGGCCAAACACTGAGCTCTGCCCTCCTCCCCCTCTTCTCCCCCTCCTCCTATTGTTACTCATCCTTCTCCTCCCACTCCTCCTCCTCCTCCTCCTCCCCCTTCTCCCCCTCCTCCTTCTCCTCCACCTGCTCCTGCTCCTCCTCCTTATCCCCCTCATCCTCCTCGCCCTCTTATCACCCCCACCGCGCGCGCCCCGCCCCCCCCAGAGGTCTGCGGGAGGCACGCGCGGGTAGCAAGAGGAGATGGGGCGGGAGGGGGGGGACGAAGGAAGGGAGGAAGAAGGAGGAAGAGGAGGATCTGGAGGAAGAGGAGGACGAGAAGGAGGACCCCTGCACCCCTGTCGCTCCCGCCCGCCCGCAGTTGCTGCCCGGGCGGCACCTCGTCGCGAAGGGCGCGGTCTGGCGGCTCGCAGTTGACGAGCGCCAGCTGGTCCAGGAACTCCCGCTCGCGCGCCTCGGCAGGGGGGCGGGCGGGCAAGGAGGGGAGCGGGTGCCAGGTGGCCTGGAGAGAGAAGGAGACAGAGAGAGAGAGAGGGGGGAAGAGAGAGAGAGAGAGAGAGAGAGAGAGAGAGAGAGAGAGAGAGAGAGAGAGAGAGAGAGAGAGAGAGAGAGAAGAGAGAGTAGAGAGGAGATGGAGAGACTCAGATTCACTCAGGATCCACCGCAAAGTCAGGAAGGCAAGGGTTTAGACTGGGAAGTAAAGCGCAGCGTAAGATTAGAGAGAGAGAGAGATAAGAGCGAGAGAGAGAGAGAGAGAGAGAGAGAGAGAGAGAGAGAGAGAGAGAACGATACATGAAGAGTCGACTCGAGCGAGAGAGAGAGAGAGAGAGAGAGAGGAAGATATAGACATATAGACATGCCGAGGAAAGAGTGAGAGGGAGAGGGGGGGAGAAAGAGAGAGGGAGAGAGCGGGGGAGAGAG